CAAGGCAGTGGTGTTCGTGTGTGGGAGAGCCGATCGTGCTTCGAGTGCCAGTAACCGCAGCGAGGAATGGAATGGGAAGGGCGCAGGACAAAGCCACTCCGGGGCCCGGATTGGGGTTGCTTTTGCGGCGAGCCCTTTAATGGACGACGCGCCGTCGGCGTGGCCACCGCGCGCGGTTTCTCCGGCGTTGTGTCACGGGATAAATGTTAATCGATATCTGTGTGCCGGTGCCTGTGTCCGACATCCTTTTGTTGCCACGCCACTCCATTGTGCCTCCTGGCACCCGAAAAGAGCAGCGTCCGCGTCGCATCTTGGCGCGCTAGCCGCAGAAATTGGTCGAGTGCACTCGCTCGAAAAACTAATTTGATTTATGTCTTCTCATTCGAGTGCCGCCTCCCCTCGTTCTCGTCCTGAGAGTGGTTAGATTTCAACTCGGGCGAAGGACGCGCAGCTCTGATTCACACCCATATCGCCGACAGATCGTCCAGATTCTGGATGCCCCTGCAACGCCCAGCAAAGCGCCTCCTGATGCCTCCCTTCGGCTGCTGTTTTGGGGGCTCTTGCGTAGTTAATTTGAATTTAGGAGCTCGAAATGGGGACCATTGGTTAAACTTGACTAATGAAAAGAAATTTGTTTATTTAATGAACTAATTTATATATGAATTGAGGAAAAGGCTTAGAAAATATCGTGAAACATGGCTCTTCCAGAGTTCTTCAGTATGATCTTCAACATTGTTATTCCTCCTTCTAGTCAAGTTCATATTTTTCATCACCAGTTAGAGCTATTTTTGCATGACCTAGAACGCACTTTGGACTTACCGATATATTTTGTATTCCATAATTATGATAGGCATGAAAATAAGGATATTAAAAAACCGAGGATATACAACTTTATTATTTGAATATTCGTTTTGTCATCCATTGGATATTAAAATGTCCAAAATGTCCTATCTCTAACGTATCTTTCGATATCCCATTGAAACGGATACTCGTTAGAAGAAAAGATACCAAATTCTGCATTACCTAAGTGGATAATATATGGGAATACACATATTCTTGATTCCCTGCCTAAGTTGGTGTGGATGGTTCAGTGCCGAGCACAGCACAGCATAATGCCCAAGATATACCTGAGACTTTGGTGGAATGTTAGCGCTACCAATACATTGCGCTTCAGTATTGAACTAGTAATTAAAGTGCAGTTCTTTGAAAAACTTCAATATAAATGATCGAGGTATTTGATTTATACATTACATATTATTATTATGTTTAGCGCCGCTCAATACGATATATGTAGTTCAGATCTATTGTGTTTCTTGCTGACTGTGATTGTTAGTACAGTCTAAAAATATGGTCTTAGAGCTCCGCAAATCGTACATATTTAGGTACTTGAATATGTAGGTAATGTAGCATTTGATAAAAACCGAATGGAGGTAAAGTATCCCACTTTTCCACATGGACTCTCCACTTCTTGAAGAATACAGAGATGCCACGATCGCAGTTCCCAGCGCCGTAAGCCTACTGCAGGTCATTAGAAACAAAAGGGAAATCATTTGGATTAAGTACTTTCGCATTGTTCCCCTGACGCTAATGAATGCAGCGGTTGTATTGCGGGCTTGCTTGGGTTGGGTTAGGTAGCGGCTTTAATGCGTAGGTGGTTTTAATGCCTGCCATAAAGAGCGGCCTGGAGAGGACATTTCATTCACGACTTGAAACGCGGCGGGTCGATGGATTCATATTCATTCATAAACTGGGATTGCCAGGATTCGGATGGGTGTTTATGTGGGATCAGGTAGGTAGGTGCTATGGCGAAATGAGCTGAAGTGAGGGGTGGTGAGGCTGTAAAAGCTTATTTGCGTAGGTTGGCACTTAGTCTTGCAGCCGCCTTGGTTCGCTATGTGTACTGGGCCTTTCCCCCGGAGGTTCTTTAAGTAATGAGCGATGGAATTTCCACCCATTCGTCTCGGGGACCGAATCTCGCGGCCGAGGCGTCGGCGTCATAAACGGCAACCTACCTAGGACAATGCGGCACTCGTAAATGGCAGAAAGGAAGTTATAAAATAATTAAACACGGCCACCGCTACCGCTCGGCCAGTGCCAGCGATTTCATTCATAGAAAGTCTGCAACCTGATGCCCGGTTCCCGGAGCTCGGAGCCCGGAGCCGCCATCGCCATGGTTAATTAGAGCAAACAAATAGTTCAGATAAGCATGGGGCGTCACATTCATATTTCGATTAATTAGGAAATTTTACACGCATACGCTAGCTGCTGACACACATGGAGAAGGTGCGGCTCTAGACGGCGACACGACGTGCTCGGGGAAACCACATACTTCCTGGCTCGTACTCGTACTCGTATCCTAACCAAACTTTGGCTCGGAATTGAAACTTGGGAACACCTCGCACACCTCGACTGTTTGTCTTCCACCTCGTCAGAGATTAGGCTCTGAGATCGATCGCCATGCGCATGCGCATATGCCAGTTGGATCGCAAGTCTCGTTTTAGCCAAGATTAACGTGCGACGGACTCAATCCGCGATCAGATCAGATCAGGCTGAATACCCGTACATCCGGCTCTGCGGATAAGTACGCCAGGCTTTCGGTCCCCGCTTAGATAGTGGATCACTCCACGCGATGGACTAGGTGTGATCTTTATTGATCTCCATGATCAGGTATTGATCAGAGAGCGATTTGCCCTGCAAGCAGGCGATTAGACTGGAAACGGGATAGATAAAGGAGCCCCTTCAAAGTGCTATGTACATATGTATATATCTGCAAAACGGCGATTCCTTTCTTGAACCTTTCTGCGAGCAGCAAGCCGTCTAATAGAGCTCCTGCTGAAATTCATTGATATTGAAACCTCTTTGACAAATGTACTCAAGTCGAATTCGTGCGCATCGAATGTCAAACTTCCACTCATTCTTTCCGTTTTAAAGAGTACAAGGCCGATGTCTCCTAGGGTAATCCGACAAGCGTTACATAAGTACGCACATATCACAGCTATTTGATCAAAATACGATTACCACCTTAGTCAGTTGCCATACAAATTAACGTTTGGAAGAACAAACTTAAAGGCAGTAGATCAGGGCAGTCCAGATCGGGTGACTATATCAAGCAACTGGTATGAATCTTACGCCTTGACCCTGAATTTAATTCGAAGGAATTGAACTGTTAAAATGTGTGTGTCTACAATTGATTAAGGATTAGATAGCACTATGATGGTCCTTTGGGGTGGACTTTATCTTAGGTCCGTTTTAATTTCTTTTTTTTTTATATAAAAACGAGACGTTAATGATCAGCCAATGAATCTATTTATACAATAGACTTTTCTCAACTGACTTTTGTGATTTTGAATTGGCGCCATCGGTTCAAAGTTAGTTGACACGAGTGTCCACATATGAATGTCCGCTACTGTACATATATACAATATAGATATGCGCAAATTTCTTTAGTTGTACAACCCAATGGATATTTCCGAGGCAAAGTAAATGCAATCGCTAAATGATCCGATTTCTGAACACCAGGATATGTCAGCTATACACTCATATGGCATGTCAAGGCTAAAGCCAATGCATTCTACCTCAAAATGTCTTGAAAACGCATTTAGTTTTTCAAAAGTAATGCATTTATAACAATTATCATAGATTTTATATAAGCCAGGAATCCGACAGGCTACATAATCAAATATTGTGCCCTGTTCCAAATTATCCACCTTCAAAGACAAGAAAAATGTGCTATATTTATTTACACTTTAAGTTTCGTGTACAGTCCCTTCTTGTATATCAGCAACATCTCCATCGGTTATCTATCCATTGTGCGGTTTATCCATTCCAATTAATCTAGTCACAGAATCCCGCCAGGGAAAACGCCCTCCGCCGGCAGTAAAGCTGCCCCTGTCGACCCCCCAGCCCGGTCATCCCCAAATGATAAAGTTTAGGCAAACTGTACTGCTCTACATGCTCAAACCTCTTCTGCAGCCCTCGGTCTCAAGCCCCCAGGAAAATGCGCCGACTGGGCTCTTATGTACAGCTGTGCGCGTATCTGTGAATCCTTGGCCCTTGGCCCACACTTTGCATATTTGGGCGGAACAGCAACCCCTAGGAGCAAAGCACTTAATTCAATAATAAATTGCCACCACAAGAGGCGGCGAATCACTCGCCGGAGTAGAGTCAGGAAGCCCGCAGATAACCAAGTCACGAATTTAGCACAGTAACCGAAGGGGGGAGAAACGGAAAACAGAACACATACCAACTCAACTCAACTCAAGTCGAAGCCAAGCCCAGTCGTGCCTCACGGGGTTCGATGGGGAGGGGCTGTGGGTTTGCGGTGGGTAAGCGTAAAATTCATAATCGTGAATGCTTCACTTAAAGTTGCGCCCAAATCCGAAAGCCACCCCGCAGGGATTCGCGGAGCAAAAATAGATATACGAGTGTGTTCCACAATGGGAATGGGAAGGGCAGGGGCACGCATTAAAAACGAAAGTCAAGGAAGCTGCCATTCCACGAGACGGCTTGAAAACTACGCAGGACTCTGCTCACTACGGTACATACATACGTTGTACATTATGTACTACGAGTATCCTGCATGACTGTGTGTGCGTGTACCGGCGCGCCGCGGAGCCCTGTGTCCCTGCGAGTGTGCGTGAGCGGCCATATTGTTGTGTTGGACGAAAACAACCCTGAAGCGTGCCTCTCGCTCACACAGAGGCAGACAGACAACAAATCGATGAATGAAGCGACTCTGTGTGCGTGTGTGCGTGTGTAGGTAGACCGCTAAGTAGGCCCGTGGGCAGAGCAGAGTCCTGGCTTGCTCAATGAACGGGAAATCTCTTTAAATGGTGCGCCGCTCAGCCAGGAGAGCTCAGTTCGAGTTGAGATCTTGCAGCGCACACACAGCTCCAGCTCCGGCCCCGTCCATTCCCAGAAAAAGTGTTCCCAACAAAAAAGTGCTCCCGTGAACCAGAGAGAGAGAGATTCCTACTCCACCACAATCGCATCGCATTGAAATGTCGACTATTAACCTGCATCCCCCGCAAACGTACTCGCGCCTGTTCCGTCCCTGGGATACGCAGAGGCAGGCGCCCGCTCCACCGGCCAGGACGGTAAAGAACGAGCCCGAAACGGTGAACATCAAAACGGAGCTGCCCAGCAGCAGTTTCGGCCACGACAGCGACCGCGACTCCTCTTCCTCGTCAAACAGCAGCAGCAGCAGCAGTAGCAGCAAGTCCAGCTACGATGATGGATACACCCGCACCTCCACCCCCCTGCTGGATGTGACGCCACAGCCCGTCTTCCCACATCCCTCGTGCTCCTCCTCAGCCTCCCCGACAGTGACGCCATCCCAGCAGATGTCGCCGCAGCAGTCCCCCTTCATGCCCGCCGCCAGCGATCTGTACTACGCGGCTGCCGCAGCTGCAGCCGCTGCCGCTGCCAGCACTCCCGCCGGTGCCGCTGCTGCCGGCTTCGGCATGGATCCGTTCACGCTTGGTCTGATGGAGCAGGAGTACGCCCGCGTGATGGCCGAGGACGCCCAACTAAAGGCCCTGAACGCCCGCAAGCAGCGCCCAAAGAAGTTCAAGTGCCCGCACTGCGACGTGGCCTTCTCCAACAACGGCCAGCTCAAGGGACACATTCGCATCCATACCGGTAAGTCGAGCAGAAGTCCCCAGCATGTGGCACCCCGTACTCACACATCCTATTTCCGCTCCCTCCCTCCTCCAGGCGAACGCCCCTTCAAGTGCGACGTAGACACCTGCGGAAAGACCTTCACTCGCAACGAGGAGTTGACGCGCCACAAACGTATCCACACTGGACTGCGTCCGTATCCGTGTAGCGCATGCGGAAAGAAGTTCGGTCGCCGGGACCACCTGAAGAAGCACATGAAGACGCATATGCCGCAGGAGCGCCAGCTAGGTCCGGCCATCTTTGTGCCAATGTATCCATATCTCTATGGCTACTGAATGGACGGATGGAGATCCGATCCGAACCTCGCTCCAGCGATCTGTGAAGCGCTTGCACGCTTTAAAAACGCTACAAGGCCCATACGCATACGCACATAGCCACCGATACCGATGCCAACGACAACGACAGCGACAAAAACAACGATAAACATATACATAGATAACCAATAACTCAATGCCGGCCAATACTCAATTTCCCATCTTGGATAGATCTACCTCAGCCGTACCTGGCGCAATCTAGCGCACTCACTAACCGCTAACAGACTCAGAGCCTCGGAGCCGAAACCCTCCGAGAGAGAGAGACAGAGAGAGAGAGAGAGAACCCGATGCCCTCGACGATATATGCAAATATTGAGATATTTATTTTTTAACTCATATTTACACAACCAGCTACGTGACGAGTTTGGAGCGTAGCGTACGGAAAGAAAACCCAGCATTTGTGTAAATACCTCCTTAAGTGATCCTTCCTCATATGCTAAGCGATTAAGAGATTAAAGAGATAGATAGATAGATAGATAGATATACCTGTATACACACAATCTTTATTAGAGCTAAGCATATTTTTCACATTTTTATATGCTGAATACGGTTACTAGCAATATACGATTTATACCTATCTAGATATAGAGTCATAGTTAAATATTCAGAGTTGCATTATACGATTTATGTTTACACCATGAAATACAAATTTTGAAAATCACAATTTCCATCTTCCTTCTCCTCACGCAATCTTCAATTCTACTGAGAGCTACAGACGATGAGAACTTTCACCCAAAATTTCGCAGCTGAGAACGAATGGCATCCTTTCCGCCATTTTGTGTGCATATTAATGACTGTTTCAGTCACTTCCCGCTAACCAGATCATTTAAAAATCGCCCAAGTCATCCCGGCAACATCAAAGCGAAACCTGCTAATGCATTCATCCTCGCCACCAAAGGGTTTAAATGCACAAGTCATTTGGGCATTTGGCAAAACCGGCAAAAATCCCATTCATTAAAGTGCGGAATAATCCATTATGTCGGGCGGGGCCAGAACTGCTAAATATCCAGTCGCCTCCCACTCCCCGGTTAAATACAATCCGTTCATTGTACAAAGAATGCGAATCAAAATGTCCTGATTTCGGATGGCAGAGCAATCATCTCACACAGTTTCCCACAGTCCCCCGCAGATCACATTCAGATCCCAGAGCAATTGTCCAACCGACTTGCCATTACTCACCTGACAGCTTGCGTCATTCATAAGGACAATGGAGTGGGCCACCTGAGCTATGAAACTGTGTGCAGCACACCAGACACTCAGTCTGCAACAAGTCAAAAGGACACTTACTCGTATTTGTGGAATTTGTTATGCGAACAGGCGATCGATCCATCGATCCCTGGTCACTAGCAATGTGACTTCCACGAGCGGACAAAAGACGAATTTCTGAAATTGGAACCGTAGCAGACCGGTGGGCAACAGCAACGAGTCTTAACCTTTTCCAGGACAATGGCAAATATGGTTGCTTGATAGGGGCGTGCAGTTCTCACAATTACCTGTGCCGTACCTGCCTGTCCTCCCAGATCCTGAGAAGATTTTCGTTGCTGGCAGACAGTGCGTCGTCGTCTTTATCGCACAAGTGGAACAATGATATCTACAATAATGTGTCCCTCCGATTCGAATAATTCGACTTCGGACCTTTGCAGCAGACACGACGTCTGCCCCTTGGGCACTTGGAAGAATACTCAAGATCCACGAATGTGCATTTGAAACAAGTTCAAACACACATTTCTCAACAGAAAATCTATCTATCGCTCAGTACATTCAGTAATTTTTTAGGCATTGTTGCGTAATTGCCGGCAATTAATTAAGGAATAGTATCGGGTGTGGGAATCATGCATGATATCCCAAATGATATATGTCGATCACATGTGACAAGTGTTGACTAATGCGACGACAGTTGAAAAATATGCCCCGAAAAGCAACAATCTGTAAAATAAACAAAGATTCTTAGTCATTTCGACGTGCCCTGATGAAAACCACTTTCCTTTCTGATCAAACATTTGCGCATCGGATGATTTTTGACAACTCGTTCTTAAAAGAGAAAATATTTGTGGCTATACGTAAAATCTTAAAAATTGTATTCTATCTAGAAATTACCTACGGTATAAAGTTTAGCGCCGAAGGGTTTAGTACGTAGACACCTCCACACCGACCTTGTTGGCTACTTGGCCTCCTTCTGTGGTATGTAGTTACTTTAAAAGAATAACCATCGTTCATGATCTTGGTATTGTAAGCTAAAGTTTTTCGAACATATTCGAACATATCATGGCAAATAAAGCAATAGGCGTGCTTGTGTTTATGCCGACCATTATGTAGCGAATACTATATTTCTTGTTCCTCCGATTTTAGAATACGGCTCTTGTGTATGGTGCTTTGAACGGCCTATATAACCATTCTGCAATAAAAGATTTCCCTGTGCTGCAGCGGTTAAATACGTTTCACAAGATTAATTCTAGGTTGTAGGCCTGGTAGAGTAGTTCTTGTAACCACCATTTAAATTTCCAATAGTCGCAATATTTTTTAAAATTAAGAAACTATCTATCGACATCTATGAACAATAGTGGTTTGAAAAGATAAATGCATGCAATTTTTTGTCTGATAAAGTTTTCTGTAATATTTTATTTTTTAAATCGAATTAGTTACAAAATAAGCTACTAATCATTGATACTCGTATTGTCCAAAGCATACCAATATACACGTATGTATATTTCATCACACTATCTCTGATGTTGATGCTTGTAACTGTTGTACAAGTTGATTGTTTTATTTTGTTCAATTTCTTATATATCGACTTGTTTCATTTTTTTAAACAATTGTTTTGATAAGGACGATACCACTTTTTCCAGACATAATTGATTTCTAACAAATTAACCGGAATACGGGTATATGATTTCAATTTAGATTATACCTACATACATACCTATGAAAAAGTTTGGAAAATATTTGGAAAGTATGTGAATTAATATACAATATCAATATATCAATATCCAGGTGGACTACCGAGCTTGGCAGAGTTTACCAAAATTGTAAAGTTTAAATTAACTCTTAAAGACACTATATATTTTATCTGAATATTTGAATATCTATCCGCGAGATCGTTTTTGCGATAATCGCGGAGGATCCTTTGTCGATCCTTTCCGAACCGGAGACATCACAATGTAGCAAGGACCAAAGGAACAGTCAAGCAAGCACCCTAGGGTTGGGGTCGGCTAACAACTATGTCGAAAGTATTTTGGGATTCACTGAAGATAAAATTGAAAACTGTAAAACGATGAACAAAGAATATTTTATTCAGTAATTTTGGACAGATTCGATATTTACTTGGAACAGACACCGTATTTGGCAAAGAAAAAAGAGCTGTTTCATAAAGAAAATGCATGCATACATATATAGGGTTACGAGTTACTGCCTTGTTTAGCCTTTTTCCAACCGGAATAAAAGGGATCATCAATGAAAAAAATCATACATTTTTAAAGTATTCGAAAATATCCGTTGGATACAAATAAAAGGTACCATTCAAGTTTTTGTAAGACACATTTCTTTTGGAAGGATTTCGCACGAACCAATAGTTCAACCATTGATATATATGTATATAATATATAATATAATATATATTTCGCCTGTCGTAGACCCCAAACCTCGTCAAACTCTGAGCATGTTTCTAGCTACAGCCTCGAAGACTTCTTAGAAGCTATAATTGAAACCTATGAGAGTACAAATCAGAACAGATTGTACTGTAAAAGTGCGTAGCATCACATTGTTCCGCCAACAATATGAGACAGAAGAAAGAAGTTACTTCCTAACGTGAAAGTAGTTCGGCAATCAATAACCCACCGACGTCCCGGCACAATTGCCATGTAGGAGGCACTGGCCTATCTGCCATTCATGACCACAAAAAGGCCAAACAAGAGTCGTCGGGTGGTCCGTCCTCAGAAAATTTCGCAACGAGGTAATTGCCAGCGACTACCAAAAAGTGGTCCTCTCTCTTGGACGCCTCTGGGGGGCCACCCAGAGTGCCCAGAGTGAGAAATTGAAATGTCTTTTGTGCCACTAATAGAGAAATATACGGGCCATAATTTCGCAATGCAACAATAGCTGGGCCCAAGGCAATTGAATGAAGAGCAGTGCGAAAACGCAATGAAAAAACCGAAAGCAATGAAATGAGCATCGAGTGAACCAAATAAAAAATGGAGTCGACCGTCTTGGTGGGTAAATACTCGTGGTGTTGCTGAACGGGTCTGGCTGCTACCTTTCCCAGCGCCAGTTCTGGGCCAGGAGTCGGTGGCACTGTGCGGTGACTGTTTTCAACCCCTCGCCAGCAGCAACCCAACCCTCATCCCTTATTCACGCACACAGATAGAAGGGCAAAGGGAGAGTGAGAGGAGCGAGAGAGAGAGAGAGAGTGATAACACACCCAGTGGTTGGCAGGGGGTAGTAGCCGGGGCTGACGTTTTATACAAAGTGTCAGAAGATCCATTTAATTGTGAAATTTATTGGCCAGCAGCAGCGACAGAGGCTGCAACAGAAACAACAGCCAGAACAGGAGACAGTTTGTCTGGCCCTCTTGTTGGCTTTCTTTCGGGCTATTCGTATAGTATGTTCTGCGGTTTCTGGAAATGCTATTATACATATCCATGTGTATGTAGGGAACAGGAATAGAGCCCACGACGATAAGGTCAGACCTGGCTATAAAAAAGTAAAGACAAATTCGTGTAAACAAACGGATTTACTTCGAAGATACTCGTACAGGCGTAAGGTGCCACAGTTGTTCGAGGCACGCCACGTACAAGCGTGGTGTGTGGTGTGGTGTGGCTAGCATGTTGGTATTTCTATTCATAAATCCCCTCGCTCGATTATGAAACTTTCCAGTTAATTATATTTGTACAGGCTGGGTTGAGGACTCTTGGTGTTGCACAAGATTTCCAGTTTAGTTTATCATCCGATCCGGGCGGCTTTGTCGGTATTACTCGTATTTTCCAAGGGTCGCCCGCAAATCCTAGGCGGAAAAGTGGGTATGGCCCGACACACGCTAAACGATGCCTTTATCTGCATAAACACTCTTAATAAGTCGATTGTCCGCTTCCTAATCTTGCTCCGGACTCGGGACCTAATGAGCATCTCCTTCCATTATCTTTTCATGCAAATGCATGCAATTTCAGGTCTAATCCTAACGCCGCGACTTGCATAATGTCTTCCTGTGTACACACAGGACTCAGGGAGAGTACGTCACATGGTTTGTCCAAGTCCTCACACATGGCATCGGTCGGCCTAAGCTGTTTGTCCATATAAACCACAGACACAGGACGCGGATCCGGGCCCAGGCACAGGCACATACGGTTTGCGATGGAAGGACAAGAAAATGGATACTCTATCTAGTCAAGAATCTCAGCTTTCTAGCCCGATCTCCTGTGGGCAGTATTCACATTCGCATACCCAGCCCGAACCTCAATCATCATTATTATGCAATTGCATTTACAATCAAACCGAAAACCAACCAAAACAAACTCAGGGCAGCGCCCAGCTGGAAGACAAGCCCAAAAGGCAAACAGTAGGTGGTGCCGGAAGTGCCGTACAATGCCAAAACGGACGGGCGACTTTTTGTGCAGTTTTCCCATCAACATGAACCCAACAAACTAATCAAAACTAATGATGACATAATTGGCTCGATCGTGTCGTAGAGAGAGAGCAGTCACAGCAACAGCAGCAACAGCCCCAGCAGAAGGTGCAGAGTCCTGTGCGGGTCATAGAATGGAATAGGAAGTGCCTGCCGCAGATCAACACAAAGCCACACAAATCGACCTTTGTCCCGGCAAGGAAACAGCCATCAGTCAGAGGCGTTCACAAAGACGAATACATATACGTTAAATAAAAAAGATAATTGATTTCTTTGCCAAATTCCATGCGATGACACCAAGATTTTGCTGCTCGCCGTGTGGTCTTGGTCTAGATCCTTTGATGCAATTAGCTGGAACCTACATATAATGGAGGGAAATATTGTGACATTTGGGAAAGGCGAAATTCTTAAGTAATTCATCAAAACGTAGCCACATGGACTGCTTTTCTTCATATAATTGACTCTTTCTTCAGGGACTACCTTGCGGATGTTGCCCGCAACGTAGCGTGTGCTACTGCCAAGCAAGGCACATTTCCCCTGGGGGGTCGTTTTAAAAAGTAAGCAGTCAGCATTCTGATCTGATATATCAATTAGGAAAGAGCGAGCGTTGGTTTTGTATTTCTTAACAATGACTGTTGCTGTATTTGTATACACATCAAAAATGCTTGGCTGCAAAAGAGCAGCATAATGTACATAAGTTTTTACATATGTATATACGTACAAGGTATCGAAAATAGAGTAAGCAAAGGTCATTCGAGTATATAAAATGTATAAGCATAAAGAGATATTCAAATGCTTTGTTCCGTCAAGTTTGTTCATTCAATTGACTTCAGCCGGACGCTGAGGTATTTCAGCTTTCACGCGTGTTGGTATGTATAAATATTCGGTAAATATAGGTATATATATAAATATGTGCGTATGCGGTATATGTTGGTGTAAGTATGTGTATGGGCCTTCTTCTTGGCAAGCAAAGGCGGTAAGGCACAAGCATTTGAGCCACTGAGATTACTTGGTGGTCGCTACTCTTCCCCATATTCGAGTAGATTATTTGAGGTCCATTTAGGATTGCTTCCTGCTGCCTTTCCTAGTACAGCATTATGGCGGCCTGATGCTTGTCCTTGCTTTCCGGCTCCAAGCGAAGACGGCGATCGCGGCTCTCCCGACGTCTGGCATAAAGGAGAATCGTTATGTTGAGCAGCACCACAATGGTGGAAATCACGACCAAGTAGAAGCTATAGCCCAGAGAAGCCAGCCCAGTACTATACCAGTGTTGCTGCTGGTGCTCGGTGAGAAGCACGTTGTGTATGAGATATTGGTAGAACTGCACTAGCCATGCAACAAAGGCCACAACCTGCGCTCCTGCGGCTGATATATTGGCAGTTAAAAGCAGAACCATGGTGCCGCCTCTTTTGGCTGCCGAGGCAGACTTTAGGACGGCAGCAATGGCAGCCACGGCACAGGCTAAGAGGCCAAATCCAGTGCCCAAAGTCGTAAGAAGCCAAAGCCAAAAGCTTGTGTCGCCGTTCTCAGTTCGAATAAAGGTGTAAACTGGAATGAAAATGAAACATACCATTATTTATGGATTTTCTGAAATATTTACGAAGGCATACCATCAACTGGATAGGTCCGTACTCCAAATCCGAGATCTAGGTGCTGGTTCCCATAGAAAAGGCCAAAATTGACATCGCCCTTAGCTTTTGATGAAGTGTGTCTTCGCGGGTTGGCTCGTACCCAGTGGTTTGTGGTCATGCTAACAAGTAGCAGCCCAATGGCCAGGCAACTACCAAAAAATGTGGAAAAGACTAACGCACGTGTGCGCATGCTCATCTTGATAAAACTTGTGATTACCGGGGGCAAGAGCAAGGTTTTCACCATTTAGAAATCTTCAACACGAAAGACTTGAACTGCAACAAAGAAAGTTCGGTATTCAATACGCCACAAAAACAAAGGCCCGCAGCCTTCTACTTACCCTTCCGGCTTACGGACCGAACATAAGAGTAGTCAGACTCTTTGTTGAATTTTTCTTGATTTATTTTAAGATATTAATATCTTTGTTATTTATCTTACTTATAAAAATACGGTAACATCTTTTCTGTGCACTCTTTCCAGTGCTGGTCAAATTCAGAGTCAATACAAGCTAGATTCGAAAATAAATAGATGTGCCAGAAATGGCTAAATCAGAAAAGAAATAAGTTAGAAATTAGGCAAAATATTATTAGGCTTTCGTGGTTCTAGTAATTTTATTTAAATTACCGCTAAATTAGGAGCATTGTCAACTTTAAAGACCTCCCTTCGATAATTGTGAATCACTTTAAAAATGCCTACAGCCTGTAGAAGGCCAATATGGCATCACTGACTCTGCTTACGTTGCCATTGTGCTGAAGCTGCCAGATCGATTCACTTGTATACGATATACGACGTAAAGGGAAAATATTTTTCATAACTTTCGTCTGGACAGCTATAGGTAGATTAAATAAGTTTAAAGTTCGTCTAAAATATTTGATACAAATTTGATATTGCAATATTAAATTATTGCGCGATTAGTAATTTCCAAATTGTTGCTGCTGATATTTTCACAGCAATGGCAACTCTGTAAAAATAGCGCGAAAATTTTGTCTGCTCTGCGGAAAAAACAAAGTGAAATTTCATCTAAATATGAGTAGCCGTAAACACAGGGGACACGAAAATATGGAAAATCTGTGCCCCGTCACCAGGTAACTATTTTGACAAAATAGCCAACGGCCGGAGATGTCAGAGAGCCTCTTCAATTGAAATTGCATACAGTGACGTCACAGGCACAGGCACTTAAACGAAAAGAGGTCAAAAATATATATTGTTGACTAATTAAATTGTCGGGTACTTGACCTCAGTGCTGATTGAGGCACTTTCTTGTCATGCATTTATTATTGCAGTACTTCCGTCTTTAATTTGCAGAAAACGCTCAAAAAATAAGAACCTCGCTGTAGGTGCGGGCGCTCTCCTTTCCGTCACAAAAACAACTCGCTACGAAACTTCTTCGCCATCGGCACTAACCTACGAGGCACTAGAAGAGATGGGTGTTGGAATGTTGGACTCCGAGGAGAGCAGCTCATCAGCCATGTCGGCCATTGCACTGGTTGTGAGTACGAGCGATGACAATTCTAACGAGACTACTCCGCATGTCAGTGTGGCTCGTATGTCGCATCAGCAACCCCAACGCCTGAGTATTAGCTCCACAGGCGACACAACGCTGGACAGCAGCGGAAACAACACGATCCTTGTCGACGATATGCAGCAAAAGCTTCATGCTCTGGCCCAAGCTAAGCGCTCGGCTCTGGGTTCAGAGTGTAGCAGCAACTCGAATTCCCCCAGCAAACGGACGCGAAATCCACTAGTGGCAGTTTCGTGCAACAATCAGTGCGATAGTGCTGCTCCGCTTAATATGCAGCCCTCCACCAGCAGGCAGGCCCTCCGTCAGCCCAAGAAAGCTACTACAATGCCTACGCCCCATTTAATCAACAGCCAACAGGGAAAAGAAAGTTTCTTCGTGTATCGAACGCCCTCAATGAGTGCTCACATCAGCAGTGGGATAAACTACTTCGACAAGTTGTCAGATGAAATTTTACTGGATATTTTTAAGTGGCTGCCAAAAAAAACACTCTTGCGGATGGCGACCGTGAGTCGACGTTTTAACCGATGTTCCCGGGATGAAACTCTTTGGACACGACTGGATCTCGGTTTACGCACGCTTCGTCCAGCTGCCCTCGAACAGATTGTGCGCCGAGGTGTCTTGGTGCTGCGTCTGGCCCAGGCTAATGTGAGTAGTAGACTATACTATGTACTATCCCATTTATATCTCGTTTTCATACATATATATTTAGATACAAGAGCCCGCTTTTACTCCATTGGCCTGCGACTTTAAATCCCGTTTGCAATATCTGGACCTAAGCATGACTTCCATTAGCCGAGTGTCTTTGCGCTCCCTTATGTCCCAATGCCGACAGCTAAAAAAACTAAGCCTGGAAAATGCAGAGCTTAGTGATGAAATTTGCGCTGAGATTGCAAAGAACAAATCCCTGGAGGCACTGAATCTAACTATGGCCAGCGGTTTAACGGCCAGGAGTGTGCGACTGATGATGGAATCCCTCACAAATCTAAGCAGCTTAAACATTTCATGGACTGATTTGAGTGCTGATGCTGTGACTGCCTTGGTCACGCACATCTCTCCCAATGTCATTCGCCTCAATGTGGCTGGCTGCCGACGCGTACTGTTTGACTCCCGTAAGCCGCACCTAATCCCCTCAATTTCTTGTACCATATTTGTATCTCATAAGTTTTCTTTACGCTCTCAGATGTGAAATCGTTGCAGAGCCGTTGCCCCCAGCTTCTAGAGCTCGATTTGTCGGACTGCAACAGCCTGACGCCAGCTGCAATTGAGGCAATTATGCAGTTCCAAATGCTGGAGTATTTGTCAGTTTCTCGTTGTTACCTTATTCCTGCGGCTAGTTTTATGTAAGTGCATTTCGTCCACCCCCATAAACAGTTTGTTATCTCTGTTCCTCTTTCAGTGAACTGAAGGATATGTCGTCTCTCACGTATCTGGACATTTTTGGAATGCTGTCGGACGGCGCAATGGAGGCACTTGAACAGCAGATGCCCAAAATGGGGATCAACAAGTTCATTCATAGTTCAGTCTCGCGGCCGACGGTAGGCTCGCGTCGTACCTCGATTTGGGGGCTTCGCACGAGGGACTAAGCCCCAATGAAACCTCTTCCCAACACTAATTAATTTTTAAGCAGATCGCCTACATTTGCTATCGCCTAGCGCATTTGTTTAATTCTCAATTCAATGAAAATAATTTTAAGACATGTGATTTCTGTTTCAACATGTGTATATTCGCGGAGTGGTCACTCGTCCACTTCGCTGAGTGGAGCAACAGGACTTTCCCATTCCCATTCGTCCCAGCTGACACAGTTCTTGAGGCTTTCTACAAAGCCCGTTTCTTCGGGGCACTTCATTTGGGTGGCTGGTACGTTAAGTTCATCACACATCCAGTAGGACGTAGGATCCCAGCTGTTCCGGAAAAATGCAATGTCTAGTTCCGTTTGAGTCTTGCAGCCAGGCCTACCATCGTCATTGTAGGCATCGACAACACAAAAGGCAATCACTAGCAGGGAGCAGACGGTGACTTGAAGCTTCATTTTGAGATAAACTGATGGCGGATGTGGGATCTGAGATTCCTTTTATAGTTACCTTGGTGCAGCCATATGCCTAGTGAAGTGGAGCCCCTACTACCAGAAAATGCTTTCAGAAATTGGCACAACAGCAAACAATCGGAACTATGTAGCACAGAACTGATAATTGATATTTGTAAGTCCATGGTTGTAGGAATGAGTTATGTCATGCAGTTGAAGTTCTTTGCGATTTGGAAATATTGAATACATGTAATTGAGAATAGTTATCAATGTAACGAGTAGTTCACAATAATGTTTATATTTATTTGACTAATCTAAATATTTTGTTCGGATCTTAAATTATCGTAATCGAATCTGAAACATTGTCCCATTTAAGATAAGATTGTAGCATGTAATCATGTGTATCAGCTGCATGGAAGCATTTCCCACTACATTTTTATACATTAGCATATCGTCTTTGGCACTTAATGAGGTCAGAAAGTGTACGATTGGTTAAGTGGTTATTCAGCAGTAACCCAGTCCTCATCGTCGTCATCAAACAAATCCAGCTTGCCAATCCGTCCGTCTTGTTTGACGCCTAGTCCAAGGAGATTATAAGAGCTAGAGCAACCAAATTTTGTATCCAGACTCCTGTGACTGTTAAAAGTTTATTTCAAAATTTCGCGTCGCTCCCTTTCGCCCACGCAAAGAACGAAAATCTGTGACTTGCACAATTTTGAAGATACGAGAAAACTAGAAAAATCATAGAGAAGGGCCGTATATAGCCGTTTGTTGAATCTAGATCAGATCGGATCATTATTATAGCCCTAAGGAACAAATAATATTGCCGTGGCCACTCAATGCCTTCCACGCGTTACTCATATTCTGAGGAGGGCAGCTAAACTGACTGAGTTTTGGGTATAAGTGTAGAATCCATGAAGCTCGCATATACTGCCACTAATACTCCAACTTCTCCCGGGGAAAGATTTCGAGGATTTTGTCTTGAAATAATGAGTTAAGTTTCATGTAATGTTGATTTTTTTCGAAGTGATCCTCGATTAAATTTACTTTTTATAAGGATTTATTATTTATTATTATTCAGGATTAATATGATTTAGTTTTAAAAATGCTCCTTTAGTCGCTTCTTTGTCCATCTATATGGCCATCCGTCTGTCTGTTATACGAATTAGTATTTTAAATTAAAATGTTATTGATATTTACATGAGATTTAATTGATATCTGTTACTTAAAAATCATTTTCATTTATTGAGTTCCATAGAAATTAAGTAAAATTGAGTGAAATCAAACAAGTTTAATTTATAATAGTAATCATATTTTAAAGTTTAATGGCAATGAATTGGATTTTGATTATATGAAGAGAGTAAAAATAATAATAGATAATGTTGAAGACGAATAACAATAGAAAATTTACTTAAAGACTGCCCATCGTCACAACTCACAGAAAAGAAACAAATTAATATCAATTAATCTAATTCTAATTTAAAACTCATATAATATAACTTATTTTTTTACATTTTACTATATGTATTATAATATAATAACATGGTCGAAGGTCATAGCAACCACTGCTATTCGAATACTTCGCAACTCTAATCTCGTTGTATACAAAAAATATACGTATTTAAGAAATCGTTTTATTTTGCTTTTTACCACCGCAGTAAAATCCTTATGCGAAAATCGTGCAGTAATAGGTATTATACTTATATGCTCTAGAGCTCTGGAAACTATAATTTGCGGCACATGAACTAAACTAACTGCGCTTATTGGTTTAAAACCACCAAAACTAACACATTTTTATCGAGTTTATTTTAAAAACTGTTCTTTTGGCAAAACGAAACCGACATAATGCAACCCTAGTGTACACAGGACAGGAAGTTTTGTACTCGTCGATATCAGGTTGAGGCGCCATTGGATGATATTTCATTTCCAGCCCTTGAAGTATTTTCTCTTTTTCAAAGTACGGTCACACTTTTTGCTTTTTTGTGGTGCCTGTCCACACGTAATTTTAATCGAAAATATCGCGAATTGTACAGATAAAATTGACAAATTTTAGGCTAGTGGGAATAGTTCCGCTGCATGAAGATGGACGAAGGAATGGTACTGAAGCAACCCACGGACAGGCGGTTGGGCAATGCGTGTGATTTGCCTCTGGGTCCACCCGGCGTCGACGAAAAAAGTGGAAATGGAAAAGGCGAGGAGGCAAATGCCGCGTCAGGGAAAAACAGCAAATCAAGCTCACGTCGTCGTTCATTATCGCGCCGCCGATCGACATCTCGCCGGCGCTCAGATTCCAGAAATGCTGCATCGCCAGGTGCCTCACGTCGTAGACGCTCAATATCGCGCTCACCAAGTCCTCGCCGGGGCCGCTACGACTCTCCGGACTATGGCAGGTATCCTGCACGCCGACGTTTCGATCGCGATCGTCGACGATCTCCCGACCGTCGGCGATCACCTCCTCGGCGCGGCAGACGCGACCGCTATGGACGGTCACGCTCCCGTAGCAATACTTCTCCCCGTCGCGGTGGTCGTGGAATCAGTCCTTCAAGCCGCTGGTCGCCCAAGAAAAAACCAGCATCTCCCCCGCTACCCCCACCACAGACTCAGGGTGGACCACCGCCTCAAATGGCTCCTGCCTATGGCGTTATGCCCCCGCAAATGTATGCTCCCGGGCCGTATGGAGCTCCACCCGATGTGTACGGTCATCAGTACGGGATGGCGCCCAATGTGTTTCCGCCCCAAGGACCGCCGCCCGGATATGGCATGCCAGTGCCGCCAACAGCACAGACCAACTTCAATGCTGGCTATGGACCACTGACCACAGGCGCCTGGGTCGTAAATGGTAAAGTCACTTGCTTTTTGAAAACACGTTTAACCGTCAAAGATACATATACACTGTGTACGAGTATATAGGGGAAAAGGGTATAATTTTTCTAGTCCTGCAAATGTTAAATTGTGACGATTTGTTCCTTTCTCAAATTGCAGAATACGGTCAGCAGGTCTGGATGCCACAGACCCTAGCTGGCGTGCCGCCGTCTGCATCAGAGGCACTTCTCCCACAACAGCAGCCCATGCAGGAAGCACCGCCGTCGAACCAACTAGAGGAGGAGGACAAGAAAGCGCCAGCGCTCGAGGGCGCAGGTTTGCCGCCACAGGATGGTAAGTGTGGAAATGAATTAAATTCTGGTAACTACGAAAATTCACATGCAAACCTCTCACATTATGTTTTATTATTGTTGTCATGATTACGCCCCTAACAAAAACTTGTATCTGTAACGTAAATGCGCGCAATTGGCTCGCAAAAAAAAAAAAAAAAAAAAAAACAACAAAATTGCTGTAAAGATAATCCGAATCTAGCTTTAAACGCGCAGCCAGAGCTAATGCTGACACACCTGGGCGAGGGCTTGAAAAATGACATTCCCTTTCGAAAAGAAAACGCATTTTTTGCCGTTTTTGTGTAGTCGAAAAATCGCACTTCTTGAATGGACGCTCCTCGTCGTCACCCCAACATGCACTCCAACCCCAACGAGGACGGGCCGATCAAGCCACACGACACGGTCAGACCCGATCCGATCCGATCTGATCCGATGCGATCCGGAGACCGCATCCGCGTGTAACTAGCCGCTGAAATGCACTCGAGAATGCATTTTGTAAATGAAATTTGAACTTGCTTTTCTCTGGCGAAAATGCGTACTAATTTGCATCTCTCTTTTCATCCCCCATCCATATAACTCGAATCTCCGAATGGCAGCTGTGGCCCAGGAAGCAGAAAATCAAAAGGATGAACTCAAGAAGCAGCGCACCAACTACGTGAAGAAGGTGACCCTGCTCAAAAAGGAAATGAAGGTGCTGACGGATCAGCGGGAGGACTTGGTGGATGGTGACGGCGCACCACCCTCGCCAACCACAAAGGCCTTCATTGAGGAAAATGACCGCCTGCAGGTTAGTACATAATATGAAGGACACTCCTAACAATGTCCGTTCTCGCACCCCACATCTCACACTCCTTTTCACTGGCATTGCAGGTGCAGATAAAGAAGAAACTTGACACCATTGAAAATGTAATCGACATGCTGAATGGCATCATTGGGGACGAGGAACACGAGCATGACGATGAGCAACCCGCGAGCATTCGCGCCAAACAGAATGTGAAGCCACCGCCAGAACCGGTGGCTAGTAGATCTCACACCTCAAGCGAAAGCACCGCTGATAGCTCCGACTCTAGTTCATCGGCTAGCAGCTCATCCGAATCGTCCTCCGAGGGTGAGGACGAGGAAGACGGCGACGGCGACGAGCCCGGCGACGGTACTCCTACAAATCTACTGAAGCACCGAGCAATGAAATCAATGAAGTCGAAGCAGCGACATGGTGAAGCTACAACGAAACCAGCCCCAGCTCCAGCACAAAACTACAATTTTGTGTTTTTCGATCCCGAACAGCATTGGTGCGACAGCTGTGGAGTGTTCCCGAAAACGGCACGCGACTATCTGAAGCATTTGCATGCCGAGGAGCATATGAATCGCGAGACCATAGAGACGCCCTGGCATGTGGGCATTGACCACGACCCCTATCCCACGTTTGAAAATGCGCCCATCAAGCGTGTGCCCGTAAGAGGCATGCAATTCCTCGTCCCGGCCAACGCCTGGTTCTGCAAGCTGTGCAGCGTTTGGATTGGGGACCTGCACTGTGCCTCAGCGCATCTCAAGTCCAGACTCCATTCCAACAAATACGAGGTGAGCTTTTAGTTGCGATGCATGCTGTGTAGGAAACTCTCGGTATGCGGAGTACAATGCCTACAGTAATATGCAATGTTTATCATCCAACTCCATTAAGCTCTTCATTAATCAAACGCCGAACTATGAAACTGAGTGGATCGCCAATCGCGAACGGGCTGTTCAACAACAACAGAAAGAGGACGATGCCGCGAAGAACAAAAAGGTGAAGAAGGACGACGACAAGGCCTCCAAGAAGCGCAAGAAGAAGAGGTGAGTACTTTTGAGCTGAATAATTACCGAATATTCAAAATAATTCCTTATAACCCTTATAATCGTTCAGTGGCGAAAAGAAAAAGAAAAAGCGGAAGCATGGAAAGAAGAGCAAGCGAAATGCGAACAGTACCTCGTCATCCTCGGAAAGCTCTTCGTCGGAGGAAGAGAAGCCGCAGCCACCCAAGAAAGTCCATGCCGAGGATACAGTGACTGTTCCAGTAGATAAACCAATCAACGCCTCCTCTATACGAGTGACCATGCGCAAGCAGGAGACTCCCTTGGTCACTAGGCCTGATGGTCCCTTTCAAGCCATAGTGCCTCCCCCTCCTCCCATCATCAAGGATTCCCTGAATGCGCCTGTCCGCGGCAAATGGACATCTGCCGCAGGCGAGGAAAATTCTGATGAGCAGAATAAACGGGACGACGCCATGCTGCAGCAGTGGAACACTGTGCAGCCAGTAATCAGCGAGAGTGAGAAGAAGCTGCTGGAGCAGCTCAAGGGAAAGTTGAAGAGCAAGGGCCCCCGCGAGTCAGAGGAAAATAAAACCTCCGCTTTGTCTGCAGCGCCCGCCGCAGAGAATAAATCAATGCGCGGAGGGAGCCGTCGTTCCCGCAGCCCTAGGAGGCGTAGCCGTTCCCGGAGCACAAGTCGCGGGCGCATCGATCGGGATCGGCGAGATCGCGACCGCGATAGGGATCGTGGGCGTGACCGCGATCGTGAGCGCGACCGTGAGCGTGAGCGTGACCGTGATAGGCGTCGGTCACGCAGCCGCTCACGCAGCCGCGGTCGCAGGCGCTTCTCGCGTTCTCCTTTGAGGTCCAGCCGAAGAAGTCGTTCGCGCGACGTGCGACGTCGTCGCACCCGCAGCCGCTCCGAAGAACGCGTGGAGCGACCAGTGATCAAGCATTCCGAGTTCCGGCCGCGAGCTCAGCCTGAGCGTAAGCAGAGCGAGATCAAACGCGAAAAGAAAGATTCAGAAGCAAAGCCAAAGCTGCCGAAGAGCAGTAGCACTGCCACAACTGGAGGCAAGAAGCTTCCCTTTATCGGCAAGATGCCAGTATTCAAAAAGCAGCCCACAGCAGCATCTAGCTATGATGCTCTTGCCTACACCAACGGCTCCTTCGAGGCGCCTCCACCTCCGCCGCCCATGGGAGGACCCACGGCGCCGGTGGCTGTCCGACACATTGCGCCGACAGCCGCTCAAATACAAATGGCCATGATGGAGGATGCCTTTGGCAATGCGCCACCCTTTCATCCGGATGCCGGGATTATGGTCGACTACGATGAACTGATGCCGGATCCTGTTCAGTTTGCCAGCCTGATGACTAACTGCCCTCCTCCACCGCCCCCGGGAGGAGGATCTGATGGGGAACTGCACGATTTGCACGACGGCGATCAAGAAGCTAACGGCAACGATGACGAGGATGTATTGCCTCCCGGAATCGATGAGGCCGAAACGGATTTAGTGCCGCAGTCATTGGATGGAGCGGAACAGCTTCGGGACGGGGAACTGCCGAAGGATCTCGCCGAGGCACTCGACATTATTTTCCCCACCGAGGGATCGGCGGGTGATGCTACGGACGACAACAGCCAGACGCAAAGCGAGCCACAAACCATCACGACTATCGTCGAGGATGAGCCAGCACTAAACGAGGACAATCTACAGGACTTAGCTAAGCAGGGCATTCACCTGGTGACCATCGGAGAGGCAGATGCCTCCAACGCAGTCAATTCACCCATGGAAATGTCCACTGAGGATGAAGAGTCCCAGCAGCTGCTCAATGGCAAATCCGAGTCCGAGAGCCTAAAACTTTTTGATGCAGAAGACATACCCATGCCCAGCTCACCCAAAGCCCCTGGGCCCGTGGTCGCTGTTGAGACAAAGAGCCAGGTTATCAGTGACCCCGTGGACCTTTCGGACATACCACAGCCACCGGCATCACCGACAGAGAGTGAGAAGATGAGGCGCCAGGCGGAGCTGGACGAGCTGGCCATGTTGGGCATCGACAGCAGCGACATGGCAGCACAATGTATGTAGAGCGGCACTCCAGCTAGCCCAATCGCAAAAAATAAACACAAACACACCCAACACTAAATCATTGCATCAAATGAAACGACAATCACATTTACGACACTTTTACTTTTCCACGCATTCGTCCCCTTTCTGTTCTTTTCAATATATTCTACATTTAATCTATCAATCTATCTGTATACTTATTCTTAGATGCGTTGTAAGGTGTTTGACTTGTTCCGCGAAACGGCAGCCGGCGTTGTACGTGCACACGCGCAGATGCGGCGATGGACGCCTCGGGATGGCCAAAAAAAAAATCGATCAGTTTTTATTTGTAAGGAGATACCGAACCTATGTATGAGTATTTATGTGACGAAGGGTTTTAAATAAATGCGCATATATGTATGTAATATATGTATGATGGAAACTAGAGAACGCAATGGTTTCTGCGGAATAATTTTCGGCGGAGTACATGATCGAATAACCAAAAGTGTATTTTTTGCGTTTTATTAAATGGCACTTAAAAAATATATAAATGGGTTCAGCTAGTACAAAATCTTAGGGACTAATTCCTTACGGCTATCCACTGGGATAGACATCCGATCCGCGAATAACATTATGCTCGTACTCGTATAGCCACTGCATATACATATTACACATATTCTAGCTTTTGATTTTTGTTCTTTGTAATAGGTACATGGTTTCTCGGTTAGTCAGCCTAGGGTTATGCCTAAAAGAGCTCTCTAATAGAGGGGTTTAGTAACAATTTTTGTGGGTTATGTGGCGATGGACAAATTACGTAGCTTTAGCTTTGTGCGAGCCCCTGGTAGAGTCAACAATTCATGGTGAGGACTTGGTTTTGGCCTATGATATGGATGAGGTGTATAACCGTACGAGTATATGCATGTAGTTTTGGCATGTTAAAAGTATCCTCGACATATAGTATTTTTAGGTATGAAGTGGGGCTTATGCAAAGGTTAACGATTTATAAATAATTTTGAATCGAAAGGTGTGCAGTTTCTGGTATTGGTGGCCCCGTCGATCCGGCTGCTATAAGTGGGTGACGCGCACGGCCCTCTGCCGTTGGGCCTTCGCATTCGAGTCGGGGGCTCTTAGCTAAAACTATAAGTCCGTAATCGGTCCGTCGGCCACGCTGAATTTCGCTGCCGCTGCTGCTGCCCTTGCTGCCGCTGCCATTGAGGTTGACGGTGGTGCGCCAGACACGGTCGGATTCCAATTCGATTGGTTGCCCTGGACCTGGACCTGGACACTTAGGTCTCTAACCAATTTTTCAAGTCTACAGCATTGTTATAGTAGTAGATGGATGGCCACAACAGAGCGTGGAAAGAGAAGAACAGAAATGCAAAAAATGGTAAGTGTCTATGATTAGTCACCGTAATTCACTTGGTTTAAATGATGGATGGTGAATGATGGTGCCTTTGATAACTTTGCATGCATGTGAAATAAAATTGTGCTTGGTTAATAGAAGTTAGTAGTATTAGAATAGAGCATAGACTACACCCACGCTATGATACGTTGATTGGCCTCCTTACGTGCGGCGGCAGCTTCGCTAAGTTCGCGCTTGAGCTGGGCATGCTCCTTTTTGCGCGGCAACAGGGGCGGAGGAAGTGCGGGATCCGGATCCACATGCTCTGCAATCAGTGCAAACGTGGGCGGGCTCTGCGCGGTTTGCTTGGCCAGATCTGGCGGCTGCGAGGGCTGGATAGTGGGTGCGGGCAGCCCATTACTGCGGGACTCGCTGCTGGAGCATGAAAGGCGCTTGGGAGTGGTCACAGATACAGCCTCGCTGTCCTCTTCGGTCTGCTCCTGCCGCTGTTCTTCGTCCAACTCGTCATCCTCGTCCAGCGCGTGCGTAGTTTGTGTCGGGGTCTGGTGCATTATTCCGTAATGTAGATTGAACGACTGGGCACGTCGTGGCCCCGCTCCTGCTGCTCCAACACCACCGCCATTGGGGAACGGCTTACGCGATCCACGAGCCCGATCGTTTTCGTAGATGATGTCGTGATGGGCTTGCCGCTGATTGTAGCAGCTGGCCAGCGCCTGTCGCAGATACTTATTTTCTGCCTCCAGATGCGACAAGCGTTTTTGTGTCTCTTTTCGCTCCAGACGCAACTGCATCACGTGCGACTGTGTTCCGTGTTCCGGGGCATAAGAAATAGGAGGATCTTGAGCAAGAGATAATCAGATGGCGATTTGCACTCACCTTCAAATCATCAATGTCGCGCAGTATACGAACATTGCCCTCGTTCAAGGACCACTGACGCTCCTCGACCATTGATTTGACTCTAAGTAGAAGGAAGATCCCATTAGCCCCTATCAAATCTCCAAAGTACGGTGTACATACCGACTCAGCATGGCATCTTCGCGGACTCGCGCGGCCTCCTTGACCTCGCGCACAACGTCGGTCATCATGCCAGGCGTATAGGCGCCTAGAAGTCAGAAATTTATCAATTAATCATCGAGTGCTTTGTGGGTCCGGGCAGAGAGGTGGAGGTGCCGCCTAGCTTGTACTTGTACCTGTACCTGAATGAAAAGTGGGCGCCGGACTGTGCGTCCCACCGAATCCACCGCCAAACACCAGTGGCTGACTCTGTGTGCTTAATCCGCTCAAGCTATCTCTACGGTGGCGCATGCCCCCAGCGCCAGCGCCAGGGACGGGGACAGGGCCAGCCCCCGCCCAGGCCTGGCCGTTAGGAGCGTGCTTTAAAGCTTCGATATCGACTGTGATTACGTGTGCAAAAGAATACATAGAAAGAGGGCAAAAGGTAAAAGGTGAAAGAAAGTAGCAACAAATACAAATCAATGGGGAATAGCGATACGTTATACACAAGTAGATAAATACAACAACAACAACAAAACGTAAGGTTTGTGAAACAAAAGCCAAGAAGAGATCAGATCGGATCGTACAGGAAATATTGTGAATAACGTAAGGTTCCCAGGGCTCCGAAGGGGTCCCTGGCTGGATCTCTCGAGCAGGCACTGGCTGGAACGAACCTTTTGTTTCATGCAAATTGCGACATATCTTGGAATTGGTGTCGTGCAACAGATTAATTTGCTCCATCAGCGCCGCAAAGAACTTGTTCTGCTGCACCAGGTCGCAGCCGCTGTCGTTGGTGTTGGTGTTGCCATTGCCATTGCCATTGCGGCAGTCGGGCGTGTTCTGGCCACTCAGCTTGGAGTCATTGTCTGAGGGATTCAGCAGGCAGGGATCGCTGAATCGGAACCTGTAATGATTGGAGTATTAAGATGGATACCTAAAGCTTCAAAGCTGTCCTGTGTCTGTGTGCTTACCCTCTGCTAAAGTTTGGATTGCTTCCGTTCAAGACATCCGTGGAATTCTGCTCATGTTCCGAGGTGGCGCCACCCGTCCCTCCCATCATATTGACCAGTGGCGGCAGGCTGGCAAACTCTTGCCCCCCATCCCCGCAATAGCCCATGCCCAGGCCATAGCCATTGGGGTAGCTTTGGGGCGGAAAGAGCATCGGATATCGATGGCTAAGGGCCTGCGAGTGCTGTGCGAGCGGGGGGAAACATTACTGAAAATGGCTCACGAAATCTAGTTCCGCCCTAATGGCTTCAACTCACGCGCTGAATCCCCAAGCTGAAGGGCGTGCCAGTGCCCATGCTATACGGCTGTGAATGGGAGCGCATAAGGAACTGCTGTTGCTGCTGTGGCTGTTGTTGTTGTTGTTGTTGCTGAACTGCCGCCTGAGTCACAAAGATTTGCTTACTAGCCGTTGCTGTGGGCGGAGTAAAGTCCAAGAATTCGGAGGATGACGACAGCTGGGCATTGCTAGCATCTCGCAGGCAATTCTCCAGCCAGGCATCTAGATGATCCTTGGAATAGTTTGGGCCTGTTCCATTACTTTTGCTGGCACTGGCACTGGCACTGGTGCTGCGATTCATGTGAGAGGGTGCTGCCGCTGCTGTGGTCTGAGTGGACGCTGCTCCTACGCTGCTCCGAGACTTGAGCTTCTTGCGCTTGGTGGCGTCCAACACTACAAAAAAGACACAACACGAGAGTTAGAACTGGCCACTAGTATTTTGTATTCATTTACTAAAGTCCAACTGCCGATGAGAGATACTAATTCAAAGAAAAGGAGGACTGTTTGCCTTACTGTTTTCCGTTTCCCTCTGTGAGCCGCTGCAGCCAGACATTGCAAAAACGTAAATGACTCACAGTAAGAGCTCGGCTGCAACTGACTATTCAACTAAGCTCAGCCCCAGCTCCAGCCCCAGCCCCAGCACCGGAGCCGGCCCGGTGCCAAACGACGCTGCTTCGAATCGACTCGACTCGGGCTCGCCAAGTTATTTCAGCCCACAAAAATGTCGCGGGAGCTCGCTCCAGTATGAAAACGGGTTTCGCTCGCCGTCCGCTCGCACTGTTTGGATATCGGATTTGGCCTGGGTCTCGACTAGGTAAATATTTGGCTTTGGAAATTCGATCGGATCGCGAGCGTTTTCTCTTGGCAAAACGGCTGCCACCCTGTCACCCGACCCAAGTTTTCAATAGCGAACCGGTACGTCGATCCGTCGATGCGTCTGGCAGAACAATGCACCGATCTTGGAGCGCCTGAAATTGCAGCCCACAATCCACAGGCATTCGGCCCAGTCCCTACTCAATTGACGAAGCTCCCCTTGTGGGAGTCATCGACTGGGCGCTGTCTCGGTTTGCAGCACATTCCAGCGACATGCGCGAGCCGATCGGCGTATCAACGTATCAGAGTCCCTCCTTGGGGCCCTGGGCTGTCCGTTTATATTTAGCCCAGATCGGGGGGAGCCGGTTGCCGCGGGATCTCGCTCTTCTGCGAGTGGGAGTGTCTAGGCTTCGGCGTCGCTCTTCAGCAGAAGGGTAGCCCTGGGGGTGCTAAAAATAGCCTGGAATCGAATTATCAAGCGGATGCGGACACTCGCGTTCGGCTCCTAAACAGTGGTTGCTTCTGCTCGCTAATGTCGGGGCTGTTTCAGCTTCAACAAATTACAGACATCCCATGTTAGCTCCAATAAAAGAATGGAGAAGAACGGAAACATCGAAGAGAGCTTCGAGGTTTGAAGGAATACTTTCTGGCCTTTCCTGTGACGACATGCCGCATTCCTTCGGTAAACGGCAGTGCATTTCGCCAGAAAATGTTTACATTAGGGGCTCTATCTCAAGGTCGGATTTCCAATGGCGTCCATGCTTGCGTAACATTCTCCAATAGCCTCATTTGCGGGCTAATCGTTTAGCCATTGTTACAAATTGAAATCGCATTCACGTCACTTACCCCATTTCAATGCCACAGCAGATCAGAACAGATCGCAGAGATCAGATCGGATCGCGTGTACGGCGGTTGTATCACAGCAGACCAAGCCCCGAAATTAAATCAATCACTGACCGTGAACCTGCCGCCCGCACAGACAGACACGGAAAGTCGTTTGTGCCGCATCACCAGGTGGATCCGCACACAGCCTCCTAATCGCAAGTCTTTGCGTTGCCATTTTACTGGGGTTTCCACTGAGAAGGTAATCTCTGACATACTTGTGGTGTTTAGCTTAGTTTAGGGGCAAAGGGGTGTGATCTTAAAGATACTTGAAGTACCTTCAATTTCAGGCAAGATCTTCCGTGTTGCAAAGCAAGAAACAAAACCACTCTATTAACTATATCTGGTAGCTATAGCTTAACCGAGCTGATCCGATTGGGACTATTGATAGGAGTTTTTCACAAAAAGATTAAGTACTTAGACGGCTCCACGCGAACAGAATCCAACACGTATTCCCCACAGAAGCGGACTCCTACTCCGCCCACGGGCTCACTTACAAATCGGTTGGATGGCTGTTTGGCGTGCATGACGCCTTATAGAGAGGAGGATAGGGCACCTGTCCATTAAGAACAGTGTGGCTTGTCGTCACATCGCGTGCCGAGGTGCCGCAGTCTTGTTCAACAAATTAACAAGGCATTTAGCTCTTTTTAGCTCCTGTTCTTACGCCCTTCTCGGGGTGTCTCAGCCTCACCTCTGCTGCTGCTGGGCGTTCCAACGCCCGGGGCATTCTTGTGGAGACCGCTGGTGCCGCTGGGCGCGGGAGTGACGCTGGAGCTGGTTGCAGCCGTCTCTGTGGCACCGGCTCTGCTAGGGTCCACTCCTCCGCCCCCGTTCGTGTTGATCTCCGTCTGGGTTGTGGTTGTCATTGTTGCCGCTGAAAGCGATTGCAGCGCAGCTCCTAAAACGGGTAGAAGACAAAGAAGAACTTATTATTCAATATCGTTTTACGTTTCGTACGACTCGGCGTTCGACCATGAAAACAACACTGGAAAAGCCGGCAAGAAAAGATGCACTTTGGGTAGCCAGGGGAACGGACAGCAGTAGAGCGAGGGACGGGTGGTCGGAGCGACAACAAAGGCACAACAGTGTGCAACGTGTACACTGTACGGGACCGGAAAACACCTGTCCCTTTTCTTTTTGCATTTGCAGCGACTTGAGGGACTCCGAGAGCTTAGAGTGGTGGTTGCAGAAGTTGCTGGCGTTGTTGTTGTTGCTGTTGGCACGGCCCCTCCTCCACTTTGTTGACGAAAAGTAAACAAAGATATGACATGGAAGAGCACCCATACCGCATCCCTCAGGCAGTAGTCAGTAGTCGGTAGTCAGACGTATGACAGGTATTGTATGCAGCCCCAAAGGGTCGGTAACCAGGTGCCGCACAGAATGGCAAACGATAAGAAGGGAAGGGATACATGGTATAGTATGTACATGCAATAGCCAAGGATCGTCGGAAGGTATCCATTTCCGGCGACCTCTTCCAGCACCTCTGAACCGTTCCGATCATCGACTGAGCCTCTGAATAAGCTGAATGAATGGAAGAACCCATTCTGGCTTCCCTGTGTGGGTCTCCGTCGTCAGGTTCTTTTGGGAAAGTTACAAGCATTTGCATGCCCCCCACCCAACAGAGACGTAGAAACGTTGAAGTTGAATGTGGATTTTCTTTGAAAGCTGGCTCCCGTTTATGACAGCTTAATTGCCGGGCCGTTAGACGAGGAGCACATGGAAATGGAAATTCTGGCCGGAAAATTAACAGAGCGCTGCCACTCTTGAGCCGGCGAGGCAGGTGCCTGTGGCAATTATGCAGCTACAAAGTGCTGGTAGATCCCCAATGCCAGCCCCATGCACCCACGCCCCTACACGCACGAGTATTTATGTATTTACATGTATGCATGCAGATCGTACTCCGTTCGGTCTGATTGCAATGGTCAAAACCAGTTTAGCCCAAAATGATTTGAGGCAACGATAGTGCACGACGAAAGTCAAGCGACGCTTTGCTTTTTCCACGCTCGTTAGATACAAAGATGCAGATACAAACACAAAGATAGTGCATGCTTGAAGATACCCTACACGGATTCGTAGATACAGAGGGGCGGCCTTTGTGTGGGTTCCAATGCCAAGCGAGTGTGTGGCTAAAACAAATTAAAACAAGAGAAAAAACAAGCGACGGGACACGACGACGTTTCAATACCCTTTGATACTTTCCTATTTATTTCTGTTTAAATAAAAGTAAACCACTGTCCGGCGGTTCTGTTGTTCTGAAAGCTACACAATAATCACGACAGTAATGGGCGGCCAAATCCAGGATCGGTGGACGGGCGTTACAAACGTATGGTAAAAATGAGAATGCTTGCTAAAAGAAGGGCATTAAGCTAGCAAACGAGATACAGAGTCACTAGAAAAGAGAGGAAGAGTCAGATACGGCACGTTTGGTCATTAAGTACACCAAGTATCTCAAAGATACACAGCCCCATACACATGAACATTCACATGCACATCCCCATTCCCATTTCCATTCAAATGTATCCACACAAACACAAACACAAACGAGCGCCCACAGCTAAACAAGCAGCCCATTGTTGCTGCGATTCTCCGTCGACGACGGACGAAAGTGAATTAAGTTTTTGCATTTTCTTGGGTCCCGTCCCGCGAATCCGAAGCGAAGGGAAAGGCCGAACAGCCGAACAGCCTCCGGAGGAAAGGCAGGGCAAAAGTAACAACAATCGCAGCGACAGCGGCGCTTAATTTAATTTCCGATAGCGCAAAAATGTTTGATATCATTTGCGTGATAAGCACGAGTGCCGCTGTTCCGTCAAATAAGTAAAATGATCGGAATTCCGCCATAGGAATGGTGTTTTCTGCCAAAATAGTCTAAACACCTATTTAAAAATACACGCATTACTATAATAAAAGCTGATTAGGGCTTAGATAATTCCCATCTAAGTGCAGTATCGGTATAAACTACTTTCAGCCTTATCTCTGCCCTCGCAGATACAACTGAGTTACCGCCAAGTTACTCCCAGCCCAACAGAATGCCCAACGACAACGACACCGATGGCATCAACATCAAGTCTAAAGCATAATGTTTCATTACATTGGCTTTGGCTGTCCCTGAATATCTGCGCGGCAAGGTGAGATTCAGCTCCGGCAAAAAATAAAAGACGCCGAAACATTCGTGTGCTTTTTGGCTCAAGTTCTTGGCTCTTGACACGATGCCAAGAAAAAAGCGCATGCCGCAGTAGAGAAGCAGATGAAGATGAATATCTATGGCTGGTGGGAAAAAAAAAAGGGAAAACCGCTTAAACATAAAGAAGTGGAATGGAGCTTAAGCCATCGGAATTCCCAAGAGAGATAGAGAGAGAGAGAGAACTAGAGGAGAGTGGGAGACGGAGGCTATCGGGGTTCACGTTCACCCAAAATAAAGCAATACGAACCGGTTTTTGGACCAATAGTAGTACAAGCATTTCTCCCCTGATAGATGGGATCGTGTGTAGTATGAGCATTCATACCACACATTTTAATGACAATGATAAAAACAAAGCAAAATGAACTGAAGTCAGGGGCGACCATGGACATGGCCATGGAGATGGCGACCCCACCACCAAATCACCGGACGGGACGCCATCAATGACTGACTGCACACACACACACACACACACTCGCAGAGCGGGAGCGAATCGCTTGGTTTGTTGACCCAAGCGCAAAGCATTCGAAAGATCGGAGAAATAATAATGAATGAAAGGAGACGACGCCATGACCAAGCCATATGCCTCCGCCAAGGAGTTGAGATGGGGCAATCGCATTGCAGTGGAAGTGTCATTGCAGCTGCCATTAAGAAACCAAACAGCAGGCAGTAGACAGCAGACAGCGGACTGATGGCTATCCGAAAGTAGTCGCAGAGACCAGCACCAAAGCGGGCACTTGCTCACTGACAATGTCATATGGGCTGGGAATGACAACTATCGAGTTTCCAATCCCCCTCGCGTCTCCTTTTCCACAGCACATAACGAAAATGAAAATAAATGATGTGTGTGAGATGACGTCGTCCACATTGCCATCGACTCCGGGGCGGCTGCTACTAGCGCCGCTGGCCAGCTGAGTAGCTGGCGGGGGCGCGTGGCTCGTGTTGTTGCGCCTGCATGACTTTGAATTCGAAATGGTTTTTTTATAGTGGAGCGGCACAGCCCAACGCATTGCTCAAGGTTTCAGCAAATCAGCGCAAATAAACATATGTATTTCTATGGGTATTTATCAAAGTTACCTACACGTTGCAATCGGCTGGAGCAGAAGCAGGTGCACTGAAGTAGCCTAGAAAGCCTCCAAAAGAGAGCTATTCCGAGGGATAAATTCTAATTAGCTGCTTAAAAAAGCTGGTGCCTGCTCAATGGCATTTCAATTTTTGCACACAAACACACCACACAAGCACAAGCACAGGCACGGGACGGGCTCAATGGCATTGGAAATTTTAAATTCTTTTGCGTCACACATACGATTTTGTATTGAATTTTCGTTCAGCGCAAAGTGATTGATTTGTAAATTGTGAGTCTCGGTGAGACAACAGCTGGCGGGCAGACACAACGGTTTTGAATAATAACCGATAATTATGATAACTCGCGCAAAATATAACACAAAATAAACACACAAACACAACAACAATGTCTCGATTTGAACTAGAGGTGGAGAACTATCGACTGCACTGTCGATGTTTTTCGAAAAACTATCGTCTACTATCGATGTCACTATCGACAGCAGTCTTTTTACATATTCCTCGTTTTTTATCTTCCGTGGAATATAACTAATTAAATATATCCCACAGCGCTGCCCACATAATTTTATCCAATTAATTAATCAATTTTCTACTCTACTGGCCTAAATATTAAATTGGCTAGTTTTGGCTTTTATTGGTGCATTAGATGACAAACATTCTCTCAGTTCTATAATATCCATTTCCAGGGTATGCAAAATGTTGCTCAATCCGCGAGGAACAATGCTGCTCCTTATCTTTATGAGTCTGACCCATGCAATTGAATGTTGCCAGCAACATAGGAGATAATATCGATAAAATGTACAAAATGAATCAATATTTTTTTTTAATTTCTTGAACTTTTTGCGATTTGTTTTCTACTTTGTAAGAATGGAACTCAGTGTTGACACCGATTCATACCCGATTCAAAGAGAGCCTTAACAGATTTGAAGGGAGCAAAAAGAGCCAATAACCGTTTCGATGAAAGCAGTTCGGTCATCGTATTACAACAGACTACAAGTCCAATCTAGTCAAAACTAGTTTAGTCTTAGTCTTTAGTCTTAGTCGGCTTAGTCTTTTCGTCAATGCCTTTGAAAAGCTGAGTCCGTCACAGAGCTTTTCAAAAAAATACAGAGTCTTTGGCGCGATCATAGTCATGCCCAAGACATTCAATTTGTTATTGTATTACTGGGCATTCCGTTTTTAACCATTCGTTTGTGGTATCGGCTGGAGCTGGATATCGAAACCAATTTATCGATATTTCGTAATATAATAACGAATATTTAAACAATTTATTCACTATTATAGTTTGCAATTAGGCAGATGGCCTAAAAAGTACACTGCTTATTTTTAATCCTATCCAATATGAAGAAAACTAAGCTATGAACAAAATCGTAAGCAACAGTTGGTACTGCGATGCAGTTGTCAAAGTTGTGCTTTTCCGAGTGCTTTATCTTCACATACGCGGAATGGATGGGGGTATTAAGCTTTCAAGTACTCGTACCTCTGAGGTGTCGTTCCTGCCGTGCGTGCAATGGCAGCAGCTCATCTATCTGATGATCACAGTATATACAATTCCATAGCCGTTTTATTTTTTTTTATTTATAACGTGTCCACTGTCTGTGCCACACGCCTCGAAAAATAACGAAATCATTGCACTAAGTCAGGAGAATCCCAAAAGTGAAAGGACCTTTGATTGCTTGATACAATGTGAAAGTGAAATTCAGTAATTTAAAAAATAGTTTGTCAAACAAGACTAACGAGATTAAATGGTCAACTCAGAAAATAGTCGCTAGGAATCATGATGGAAAATTATTGCTCCAAGCCGTCAATGCTGCAGCACAACATACTATTTATTGTGCTGTGAAAAATCGATTTTAGTTATCCTGTGCTGTCATATCCCGAGCTTTCGCTTTCGCTTTCGATATCGCTTTCACATTGTAGTGCAAACAAACCCAAGCTGACAGCAGGCCACTTTTGATGAGGTTCATGTAGCGTTGAGGAGCGTTGGAATAACTACCATCTTACGCATGAACAAAGATGATTGTTACATCTGCTTCTGGCGTGGATAGCACTCCTACGTTGGGTACGTTTCTCCTTGCCTTTTCACTTCACTTATTCACTCATTGCTGAACTTTGGGTTGCCAATGGCCATGCCATTCCTGCCCTGAAGTTGTCCAGAACTATCACGATCATAGTCTTTCTCGATATGTTTGTAAGTCTGTATGTATTTGCAGGAACGGTTGAGGTCACCACTCTCCTGGGTGTGTTTTTCGGTGTTCTCGTCCTGCTGCTCCTGCTGTTCCTGTACATAAGCCGCAAGTGCTGCTTTCACCATCGCCATGGCATCAACTGCTGCGACGAGCGTCACCTGGCAGCCAAATGTGTGCAAAAGATCAGTGAGTATTCGGGGTCTCGATGAGTGATTGGGATGGGTGGTTGGGCATTGGCTTGAGCAAACCCTTCGTTGCAGCACGCAAGCGACGCTACGAGAACACCAGCTCCGACTCGGAGGAGGACATCTTGCGCCGGCTGCGATGGCATCAGCAAAATCAGCACAGCGACAAGCCTATTGGATACGGGATGAGCATCAGCCAAGCCAACCCACTGACAGCGCACAGCTTCAATTATCATCAATCCGACGCTGACCTGCAGAGGGTGACCGTAACGCGTGACCCTTTGGCAATTGCCGAAAGGGGCAAGGTCGGCATTCCATCGTCTCACAGCGAGTGCAGCTCGAATGACTCCATGGAGGCATCTGTTGACAGTCATACTGGCATCTTGACGGGCGAGACCAAGGGTAAACTGTCTTTATTAAGCATCTGAGTGCACTTCAGACTTGACAATTGACAAGCAATGTAATTTATCTCGACGCAGCGCATCCAGTTACCGCCTTTAGGAATCCATATACGGACAATCGGGCTAAGACACACCACTCCCAGAGATACCATCACAGGGTGGAGGTTTTGCCGCCGAAACTGGAGAAGGATAATGCTGTGGTGGTGATGCCTGTGGCCAATAGCTTCATTAACAACAACAATACTACTATTCCCAACAACAACAACAACAACAACAACGATGACGTAAGCGTGCAGAAATCACAGTTGAATGATTATTATACCAGTCCCCTATCTATTATTATAGGAACCCCTGTTCGACACCAGCGATCTGCGCTCTGTCAAGTCGGATGACATGCTGGTGGGCGACTCGAAGGCCCCAGCCTCGCGGGGACCCATCGAGCTGGAGATGTCGCTGCTGTACGATGCGCCGATGCGGAAAATGACGGTCCACGTGATGCAGGCGCGATGTCTGCCGCCGCTGGGCAACGGCCAGCAGACGCACACGCAGGTGCGTATGCTGATGCTGCCCAATAAAAAGCAGAAGCACAAAACAAAAATCCGCAGCGGGGAGAATCCGCAGTACATGGAGAGCTTCCTGCTGCATCGTGTCAATCCCGAGGACGTCAACAACATGGGTCTGAGGGTGCGCCTCTACGGCTGCGAGCGACTGAGGAAGGAACGGTTGATTGGAGAGGCGTATGTAAGCTTTGCCACGGTCGACCTGGAGCTCGAGACCAACCTGTGGCTGCCGCTTGAGCCCCGCAACACCTCATCGGTGCTGGGATCGACGAGCGATCTACTGAGCCTGGCGCGTTCGGAGAGCGCGGGCTCCACATCATCCATGCAGCACGGCGGCGTCTCGGAACTGCTTCTGGGCCTCAGCTATAATGGTGTGACTGGCCGGCTGAGCGTGGAGATCATCAAAGGCAGCCAGTTCCGCAGCCTGTCTCTGAATAAGGCGCCCGACACCTACGTGAAGATGGTGATGGTTAGCAGTATTGGTCAGGAGATTTCGCGCGCCAAGACCTCCATTCGCAGGGGACAGCCCAATCCGCTTTTTAAGGAGACATTTGCGTTCCAGGTGGCCCTGTTCCAGCTGAACGACGTGACGCTGATGATCTCGGTGTATGCCAAACGACACATGAAGAAGAACGAAATGGTCGGATGGTTTAGCCTGGGCCTAAACTCTTCCGGACCAGAGGAGGTAGCTCATTGGGCGGACGTATGCGAAATGCCTAAGGGCGAGATGCTGGCCCGCTGGCACGTTCTGGTGGATTCCTGATTCGAGCAGTTGGGACAGTCTTCGACACGCAGCACCAAGGCGCTCATGAAACTGGGCTTCGCTGCGTTCAAGGACAGGTCCAAGGATAAACATGCAAAGGAGTCGAGTCGGGACGAGGACAGCGATCAATTCCCTGCAGACAATGCGGTTGCAGTCGATATTGAGCCGGGCCTGGAGCTTGATTTTGTCTAGAACCAAATAGGCTGAGCGTTCCAAGGTCAGTATACATTTTGTGTCTTGTTTTTATGGGGTGCCGTAGTCGATCGAATCGAATCGACTCGAATGGAAGAAGATTGATTGTCTTGTGCCTGTGGCACACTTTAAAAACCAATTTTTGATATCTGAACCGGAATGTTTGGATCTAACCCAAAAGTGGGCTAAAAAAAATTTGTAATTTGGAAACAATTTGGAACACATTTTTTGATCAAATGTGAAATGTGAAAAAACAAACAACACAAAACAAAAATGAAACCTAGAATATTAAAATTTTGTACGCAATGGTACGTAAAGTACATGAAAGAACATAACTTATTACTCAAATTTGAACTTTATAATTGTTTGTGATAATGAATACTATACGCATAGTCTACGCATAGCCCAAGGGGCAGGCAATACATAAGTGTAGGACTGTGTATTGTGTTTGGAGGGGCATGGAACGCGTTCCATGTTCTCAGATGAACTCTCAGATATGTGGATGTTCGAACGGGCGAATTTTTGTAACTAAACCTTTCTGCATATTATCTTAAAAATATTGATTCCCGCAGGGGAACGGAACCCCAATGTCTTATAGGACTAGCACTTTTGTATTACCAAGCAACAAAATAGAAAACTATTAAAACAGAAAATACTCGTAAATAGGAAGAATTCTAGTCAATACATAAGAGACATGCATACCCACAAAAGTACATACATACATACATAAAACATAACTAATTCTTGAAATTTTTATCGAGAACCATGGTCATGTTCCAGTTTTGATATTTGATATGATGATAAAGATAAAAAGAGTATAAATCTCGGTACCTTAGAATTCAAACGCACAAAGATCTATTGTACAAGCTAAGGAAAGTTGGCAGACAGCCGGAGTTAATAATGATGGTACACTAAAACCATATACTGGAACTAAAAGTAGGCTGGAGGATAGAAATATATTAACGTTCTGTTTGCATACACATATTGTTGTATATAAGACACCGTGATCTCTTTTGTAGCGTGTCTGGAATTGTGGTTGAAACTCCCCGGAAGAGGCAATAGGGTGGGAAATGAGGGGAAGTACATTGATGTAAGTTTAACTTATACACAGAGAAAAAGGAAAGCTTTACTAAATATCGGATCTTAGTTATTTTTTAATTGTACATTCGAATCAAGTTTAATCAAAGAAAGGAAAACAGAGATGACAACTATTAAACTATTGCAATGCTCATGCAACCAAACTTAATATTAATTTTGATGTACAATCGTGTTGAATGGATTTTGTAATGCATAGTATTCGTATCTTTTAAAAAATCTATATGTTTTGAATGTCAAATATTTTATAGTCACGATTCCCGTGAATGTGTGTTTGTCGTTGAAAAAATTGCGATATTTGTATGTGTCTAACTAAATCCTCTACTTCATTTTGGAAGGCGAGTGGGGCTAATCGCAATCGCTCAAGTCAGTATTACGCAATTCAAAATCAAGGACACAGAACACAAAACACAATGAAACAAGAAACCAGAAACAACAGCGATGAACTCGCCCTAAACTGCTGACTTTATGTCAAGTTTTTCAGACTCTGAGTAGAATCTCCCTCCAGAAATTAAAAGCGAATGAAGTGATTAATTTTTTCTGCAACAGATAACATATTTCTACTCTTCAATTTAAACAATTAAATTGTCATTGTTGATTATCAAATAATAATTTTAATATTACATAATTGCCACTTAAAATAAAACGATATTATGTAAAAAAACAACAACAACAAACTTATTGTCTCATTGATCCTTAGTCCGTAGCCTATTTATGTACATAGTAAATCTATTTTCTGCGCTTTCGCCTCGTCTTCTTGTAGCTTCCCGGGTAACTGTCCTCGTCGTCACTATCATCTGTGGGCGACTCCTGACTTTCCTTGGAGCTCGTGCTTGCCGCCGCCGCCGCCGCCTGGCCCACCTGCTGGGCATCCCACTCCTTGCGCAGCTCACTTAGCATCCCCGGCGTCAGCAGACCTTGGGCGAGTAGTCTGTCCGTGAGACGTCCACGCGATGCGCTGGGCAAGCGTGGCTCCTTGACATGCGTTACGCGACGCATGCTGTAGTTTGGCGTCTCCCCTTCCTGGCTGGCCTCGGTGTTTTTGAGCAGGCGAGTTATCTGGAATACGCCCTGCTGTATAATCTCATCCAGCTCCTTTTGGGCTTCCCGTACGTTGCCTGCCTCGGGGAAAAGATCCATGAACCGATAACTGCAAAGGCAAGGCGATGAGATTAGTTTGTTATTTTGGCAGGTGGGTGCGTGCAACCTGCCTCAACCATAAATACAGATCCATAACGTCGAAAACAGACTCCAGGTGCACCAGGTCCAGTATTGTCTTGGGTAGCTTGAACGGCCAGCCGCAGTTACTTTTGATGAACTCAAATGTGATGGGCTCGTTCCGGCTGTACTGCCTGGCTATTTTAAGGAACATGGAGCACACGAAAGGCATCTTGCGGTTGATGGGCGCACAACAGAAGACGTATCGGGCGCGAAGGGGAAGCGGAACATGTTGAATCATCTCGGCGAGGAATTTGAAGTCTTCAATGTTGCACATAAAGTACAGGGAATCGTCGACCGTGCACAGGTTCACAAATATATCCATTAGGTTGCTCAGCGATGAGTTGGGCAGGTGGTAAGCATAGAGCTCAATTTGATCGGCCGTAGGATGCAGGCCGGCCTGCTTCAAAGGGTCGGGTGTCTGTGCCAGAATGCGCTGCAAAGTTTGCAGATCCTCGGACTTGAAGGCAGTCACATATCCATGCTCCCACTGCGTGCGAAAGCGGCCGGCCCGTCCCGCTATCTGGAGAGCCGACGACACCGATATAGTGTCGATCTCGCGCTCTCCTCTCTCGTTCATTGTGGGCTTGACCAAGGAGTAGAAAATGATTCGCCGGATGCTCCTGCAAGTGAAGATTGATTTAACGAAGATAAAATTGATTCCCAGCAATAGCTCACTTACAGATTCAAACCCATGCCAATGGCGTCCGTGGCTACCATTACCTTGCAGCTATTGGCGGGATCATTAAATTTGGCAGCTTGGGCTAGCTTGGTGCCTGGTGGCAGGCCGCCATAGATTACAGCAACCTCCTTTCCTCTGAACGGAATTCAATAGATGAGTATCTTGAATTAGCTTTTTGAGCGCGGGGACGAAAACTCACCGTGCCTCGATTTCCCGAGAAACAGTGTAAATGTCATGCTTGCTAAAGCAAACTATACAATCGCCCGGCATCACATTATCCAATGAGCCCAAGGCAGAATCTTCGACCGTCAGCTCGGTGAGGCGATCATAGCGGCGCACTTCCACTGTTTCGCCGGTGGTTTCGCATATCTTCTGCAGCAGCTCCAGAGCACCAGCCTCGCCGCAGACATGCACCTCGTCCGCTATCAGGCCAAGAAAGGCCCGGGTCCAGGCCCAGCCGCGCTGTGGGTCCCGGATCTGCTGTATTTCATCAATCACAGCCACCTCATCTATCACGTATGGGACAAGGCTGAAGTAAGCTGACGATATGCGAGAAATAGTAGAGTTTTACGCTTACATGGTGTGTTAACCGAGGTCATTTCTACGGTGCACGCAACATGGTTGGCCGGCGAGTTGTCGCTGATGCCGAACTTGCGCTCCTCTCCAGTGACCAGATCGCACGGAGTGCCGCGCTCGTTCGCCTTGTTGTACACCTCCGTGGCAAGCAGCTTCAGAGGACCGCAATAGACGCCGGTCTTGGCACTAAGATACCTTTCCATAGCGTGGTATGTCTTTCCGGAATTTGTTGGTCCCGAATGAAACACGATCTTCCGGGTCAAGGCGCGCGCGTTAGTATACCAATTAGCGGGCTGGCGCAGATCAGAGATCTTTTTCAGATCGTCCATGCAGTCCAGGTGCGGAAACACTGTTTTTGCGTGACGGAGGAAATAAGGAAAGATGTCATCGATGTGGCCGGCCCCCTGCATAATGTCGCTGAAGATTATGTGCAGATCCACCGGAAGATTCTCGGCCTCAATGCAATAGCGCCGAAACGAACCGAAGGCTTGCTGCTGCAAATAGGCTGGGAACAGAATCGAAATTGATAAGTAGAAATTTGCGCATCCTCAAAGCACAGCCACGTACAGTCGAGTCCGTTCTCACTGCACAGAGATTTGGTCTCTCGACGTTGGGTGAATTTGTTCAGGATCTTGAGCAGCTCCGACTTTTCCAGTTTTCCCACCAGCTCGGAGCCCACGTCCTCGCAGTCGACGTTGGCCTGCACCTGCACTGGCTTGAACAGTGTCGATACATTTGTCTCGTGTTTTTTCCGAGAGCTCTGAGGCGGCGCCCGGTGTAAGCAGCGTGCGGCCGCAACAGCTCCATATGTTGCTCGTAGGCTGGGCGACTGGCGAGTGACGCAGATTAGGCTAATGCAACGCCTTGTGTTTTGCATCGCTCCTGCAAACAAGTGAGGGGGAGGGTGTTTTAATTGAACAATTAAGGAAAATGTATTTGTCGAGCACCCACGTTTGCAGCCTCTGATATAACGGAGCGCGGGTACAGCTGACGGGCAGCTGTAAAAAAGAGAAGGTTGTACGCCATTGATTTCTCTCTTTTGATTGTGACGTCACTAGTGCTTGCTCAAGCGCTGCCAGATCAACCAAAATTGTTGTATACGATAGTTCTTGTTAGGCAATTAAATATGATCAATTTCACATGGTATACGTTCTAAAGTATGAACCAAGGACCGTAATCATAAAACGTTAACATTAAAAAATTACATAACGACGACAAATTCAACTAATTATATTAATATTACACGAGTGAAAGTTTCAAAAGCAGTAAAACAAATGCCACGCTGGATCGCCATTATTCAAGAATTAGCGTGTCGGTCATTTGTGTATGAAAATTTTTATATCGTATAGATATCCTTATTTAGACTATTTGAATGTGACATACGAATAATAATGAAGTACTGCACATCGCTGACAAAGTTTATCGTGGTGGCATCACCATGAATTGTTTGTCACAACAAAAATGACTCACTCGGAATATTAAACAAATTAAAAGTTAAAGCATTACAGTTATTCGACTGTTCTCGTTCACGAACAGTGCAATGGGCTTATTCGGCAAAACTCCAAGCAAAGACCCCAAAGAACAGGTACGACACCGTTCTGCCTTCAGCTCAAAGATGTTCCAGAGAAATGATGTCATATTCCAGTTGTTTTGTTTGAAATTTTTGCCTTATTTTCATTTGCTTTAACCTTCGCTACGCAAATTTACAGGTGCAAGAATGGACGCACAAGATACG